CGGCTCAAGTCTTGGACATTGTCATTACACATGGAATGGTATTATTGTACAGAAAAAGACGCAAGAGGGGTGGAGTGGAAAGTGCTGTCCCCGTAGAATTAGGCGAATTTAGATGGCCAAATAATGCCCCAAAAAAGCCAAATTATGCAAGTTACCGTAACACCTTTCGCGACATGTTTTGCACTTTTTCAACACAGATTTTCAAGACTTTTATGTTTTAAGTACAGAAAAATTTTAAACAGAACATATCAGTATCAGTAATTTGTAGTGTATTTGGAAAGAAAACAATACACATCTGTAAAAAAAAAAAAAAAAAAAAAAAACAACTAAAAAATATAATCTCTGTAACTTTCAGTTGTAGATCTAGATCTAGATCTAGATTTCTAGATCTAATCTAGATCTGGGAAAGAAAAATGTAAAAAAAAAAAAAAAAAAAAAGGACATCTGGACCTCTGATGCTGGCACATTACTAAAACCAGGAACACCTGTCAAACATGAAGCATCAGCAGACATGAGAACAACAACTTTTGATGGATTGAAAAATTGAACATGCTCAAGGAACAAAATCCCAAACCATAACCAAGATCTTCTACCAAGGGAAATAACCAATTTTTCACTTAAATAAGACTTATTACGGTGATTATTTCCCTTTAGTCACATGGCGAGGCGTTAATTAATAAAATTAATTGTTTTGTTTTTAAAAAAGGGAAAAAATCGTGAAAAAACGCGGGGAATTCAAATTTATGCAAATGTGCAGAATTACGCGAAAAATCGCGGCCGCACAATCGCATAATCCTACGGGGACAGAAAGTGGTTGTTTGCACGGGTGAATGTTTTTGATAGGTGTTCCTTAAACAAGGTTCGATTGTACTGAAAGCTCGTACAAAAGGTTGTGGGTGGTCAGTGGTTGGCGGGTGCTCCGGTGTGCTTTGTCGGATCCTTCCTTCCTATCAAACATCTATCGATTTTTGTTTTGTCTCTCCTCCTTCATTCATTACTGTGTATGTCATTTTCTAGCACTACCTTTAATCTTTGGCACTTATAAATGACCTATATTTGTGTTAGAAGTGCCGTAAAACTCTTGCAAATCCTCAAACGAAAGGCTGCTGCCGCTTCTAGAACAGTTACGTCATTCTTCAGAACCCTTGTTTCCGAACTGCAGTTTCTAGATCTGTAAGTCTGATCATTGTGGTACATGACCTTGTCCTAGTGAATATTATTATCTCTCCCTGTCGTTTTATTCTTATGCAAGAAACATTCTGAAATTATGCAAACTGAGCCCCCAAAAATATGAAATTATGCGATTCTGTTGTTGTTTTTTAAAACAAAGAATGATAAAGGAAAATAATCAGAAATTATGCCCCCCCAAAATGATCAAATTTTGCTAAATTATGCGGGGTGCATAAAAAAAACCCTCGGGGACAGTAGGCTATTATAGAGGTTGGTGTTTTGACGCGGTAGGCCTACACCAACCATACAGGACAGGGTAGAGTAGGCCTAGCCTACATGATTGTATAGATCTATGATTTTGAACATAATAGTATAGCCTATACTATAATTAATGAGGAAAATAATAATGTTAAGTAAATAGATCTGTATACATGTAGTTGACTCAACTTTATTTTAAAAACCAAAAACCAAACAGATTTAAGTGGGTGGTTGGCGGGTGCTCTAGTGTGGTTTGGTTCTTCTTTCCTATCAAACATCTATCGTCTTTATCTCCCCTCCTTTTTTGTGTTTATTACTTTCTTGTAACACCTCTAATCTTCGGCATTTATATGACCTTATTGTGTTGCGAGTGCCGTAAAACTCTTTAAAAAACTTTAAAAAGACAGATCTAAATTTATTTTGCGCATTTAATTTGTGTGATGGACATTATTTAGTGAACAATGCGTTTTGCCTCTTTCATGAGGTACATCCGTTATCCTCCATTCTATAAACTTCCGGTTTATTTTACTAAGGAATTGTTGGAAAAATCTTTGAGCGGATGTCGTCCAAGTCAGTCGCCATATTGGTCGCCATTTTGCTCAGTGTAGCGAGTTGCAAAAGCTGTCTTCTGTTTGAAGTGTGTTGACTCACTGCGTTTAGTTTGAGACGATTTGCACGTTATCCAGAACAATTGTTTGGCTGTCGAGTCGCTTTTCTGAAGATTTCACGTCGATCTTTAGTATCTTTGTCTTCCAGAGATCGATTCGTTCCTGTACTGAAGTAGAAGAGTCCTGCCTTCTCTTTGTCTTTGCCGCTGCCATGGGGAATTTTGCGTCACTTCTCCCAGATGAATCAGTAATAGAGTGTATTGACTTGGTGGAAGGTCAGTTCTATGGCCTGGAAGGACCGCACATGTTCTTGGGATTTGAGGTGAGACGTGATGATTTCTTAGTCGGTTTGAATGTTGAAGGAGAGCGGCTGTTGTTTGAGGTAGATATCTCTAGTGAAGGTGAGCCTATTGTCAGTGCTCCTTTGGCTGGAGCGCCAGAATGGTACAGGGACTGGTTGGGGCGGGTGGCTAGGAGAGAGGTGAGGTGGGCTACTGGACCAAGGTGTGGGGAGGTGATAGCTTTATATGACGTAATGTGGAGGAAACCGATGAAGGGATAGGACTAGATCTAGATGGTGGCTAAGTGATTTAGATCACTGAGTCTGAGTGATGGACTTCTGTACTGTATTGTATGTGTGGCAAGTGTGTGTTTGTCGGGGTCCGTGTGTTGTTTAAGTTGTATTCTATTATTCTATCGATGTGTGTATGGTTTTAGGATTTTTGTATTTTTGGTTTTTGCCCACGTAGAATCTAGATCTAGATTTAGATCTAGAATCTAGATTCCTAGATTCTAGATCTAGAATCTAGTGTATACAGTACATGCATGTCTGAAGTCCAGAGTCAGACTGTTCACTTTAATAGGTTTTGTGGGGATCTCTCTCTCTCTCTCTCTCTCTCTCTCTCTCTCTCTCTCTCTCTCTCTCTTTCTCTCTCTTTCTCTCTCTCTCTCTCTCTCTCTCTCTCTCTCTCTCAGGGAATTGGCTTGTCCATGACTTGGATTGGAACCTGCAGACATTTTTTTCTTTGTTTTTATGTTGTAAGATAAAAAGTCAATGTATGGATGAGTGTGTTGTTGATGTGTTCATCGTCTTAAAATAGTTAAATGTTTAGAGTTTATAATTTATTAGATAAAGGTAAGACGCCATAGTACAACCAGTAATTTGTGGTAGGAAGTGCGCCAGTCTCAATAATAGGTTTCACCTTCTTTACAACCCACTAACACTGACCCTTTGTTTGTCTCTTGTCATATATATATATATATAGCCAGTCAAGTCGGTATGTCATCGCTGATCATTAGTTTTATTAGTTGTAGCAAGGGAAAAAGACAATTAATATTTTTAGGGGAAGAGGAGGGAGAATAAGACAGCTGTAGGAATTGATAAGGGAGGATATCCATAACGAGCGACCACAAGTATGAGACAGAGTAGAATACTAAGAATAGTGGGCTGGGGTAGGAGTAGGGTTTGAGGTTGGTCTCTTCTTTATTGTTTGTTGAGATGGTCGCTCGTTACGAAAGTCCTTCCATTGATAATGAGGAGGAGGAGAGCTGAGATAGATTTAACAGCTGGGAGTTGTGTTGTTTTTTGTTTTCTATTTAATTTATAAAGTTGTTTGTGGGGCTTGTGCTTTGAAAGGCATGGGGTGGTGGGGCTATTCAGTCTGAAGAGGAAACTGGGTATGAGGGGTTGGGTGTCAAAGGGGAAATGACGCTCAATCCCTCATAGTCGGAGAAGTCGAAGACGGTAGTCTCAGAAAGCCAGGTAACAACGATAGCGACAGCTCAGTTTTTGGGCAGGGCAATTTTTGAAGGAGCTGAGGGAAGTTGGTGGAACACATCCACAAGCTACATGAAATTGAATATTTTATATTTTTTTGAGTAGTTGATATGAAAAAGGTAGAACTATTTTAAGGGTGTGGGCTGTTGTGGCTGAAAGTCCAATATTGTTATCAAATATGACAGTTCCGGGGTCAAGGGGGAACTGACCTTTGACCTTTCATATTGGGTTTCAGTTTTGGAAGGCAAGGGAATCCAGAATGCCTGTATTCGGTAAGAAGGGGTATGGTAGTGGGCCCATCTTTTTCGTTTTAAATGATAGCAGTTTTAAATTTTGTGTAAAGGTTTGATGATTGGGATTTTCGGTTTACTTGGCTGGCCATAGTGTAGAGACAAATGTATATATATGTGTGTGTTGTTGTTTTCCATGGCCCATGCCCCTAGAGTAGATCCCCATTAACATAGTCACCAGTAGATGAGACTGAGCGCACATATTTCGGCCTATTTTTTTGTCTGGTGACGATTAACTAAATTTGGTTTGCTCCACTAGGGAGTGGGAATGTGGGAAAGTGCCCGCCTCGTGACTCTTTGGGAGCAGAGGATGTTAGGATATAAAATACTTTAAGCTGACAATAATATTATGGTACTGTCGTAGTTCGAGTTCTGTGTGTTTGCGATTTTGTGCTGTCTAGCTTTTGTAAGGTGTTGTTTGCGTTGTGTTTACTGTTATTTTGTTCTTAGTACTGTGTACCTACTAACTTTCTTCCCCTGGTTGTACTGATTATTATTCATGATGGCGTTCTTATAATAATAGATTCTAGATCTATGCTAGGAACGGGCACGGGACAAAATTATAGATTTAAAAATTATTTTGCTTCAATGATTGGCAGCGACCAGTAAAGTAGACAAGCTTCATTTCAACAGTTGTTTGCTTATTTCATGCTCAGTCATCTCATAGCTGCGCCTGTTGGCAAAGTACTCAAAATTATCATCAGGTATCTTCTGTTTGCCTACAACTGCTCTGAGCAAGAGAACACCTCTTTGCCAACATCAGCTTACCTGTTTCTCCAGCAGCTGCAGCTGTGGTAACTTTGGACTTGCATTAAATACCAAAAGAGATGAAAATAGTGTTGTAACCACCTCTCGGAGAGCTTCGTATTTGCATAAAAGTGTACCTCTCCAGAGCCTGCGGTCTCATATTTTGTTCATGTCAGAGAGAGTCAAGTGCAGTAGAAAATTTCACCTACCTTA